CCTTTGACCACCAGTCTTGCACGATACCTCTCAACTTGATCGTCACCATTTCGCTTGATTTTTTTGAAGACACATTTGTAACCAATTAGCTTCCTTCCTTGTGGTAGTAGCACAAGGTCCCATGTATTATTTTTATGAAAGGCTTCAATTTCTTCTTGCATCGCCATCATCTACAGTGAAGCATCTGAGCTGTTTATTGTTTCCTGGTATGTTGATGGCTCACCGTCCTCTGTTAAAAGTCAATATGCAATATTTCCTTCTATAACATAATCTTAGTGCCAATTGGGACGTCTTCTCACACGATCTGAATGACGAGTTGTTGAAGCTTCAGAACTCTTTGGTTCTTGTTCATCATGTGCTGGTTATGCTTCAGAAAAATCTCCTTGTTCAAGCTCATTTTCCACATGTATCTGTGTAGTCTCTGACTTTTCAGCGCTATCATCGTCTTCTTTTCTTTGTAGTTTATCTTCTACAAAGATAACATCCCTGCTAATGATCACTTTGCGGGCAGTGAGATCCCACAAGCGATACCCCTTTACACCATCAGCATACCCCAAGAATTTGCATTTCCTGGATTTTGGATCCAGCTTTGAAATTTCTTAGGAGTTGTACATCACATACACAATACTTCCAAATACATGGAGATTTGAATAATCAGCTGGTTTACCAGTCCACATCTCCATTGGTGTCTTTAGCTCTATTGCAGTTGATGGAGCTCGATTCACCAAATAACAGGCGGTATTGACTGCTTCTGCCCAGAATGATTTTTCTAGGCCTTTATCGCTCAACATTGCTCTTGTTCTTTCTAACAAGGTTCTGTTTATCCGCTCTGCCACTCCATTTTGTTGAGGAGTGTTCGCCACTGTGAACTGTTTTTTAATGCCTTCTTTCCTGCAAAATTCATCAAATTCTTCACTTGTGTATTCTCCTCCATTATTTGTTCTGAAACACTTGATCTTATTTCCATAATCAAGTTCCACCCACGCTTTGAAGTTTTTGAAAGTTGAAAACACATCTGACTTCTTCTTAATAGGGTACACCCAACATCTCCTGGAGTAGTCATCAATAAATGAGACAAAGTATTTTTCTTCGCCTAGGGATGTAACTGGTGCTTGCCATACGTCAGAGTGAACCAATTCTAGAACACTTTTGCCTCTAGAATTTGATGTATTGAATTTCAACCGGTGCTGCTTACTTGTTATGCAATGCTCACACAAAGTAAGTGATACATTTGTTAAGCCTGGAAGTAGCTTTTTCTCTACAAGGACTTTCATTCCTTGTTCTGACATGTGTCCAAGTTTCTGATGCCATAGCATTGCAGAATCTGAACTACATGAGGCAACAGAGGCTTCTGCTTCTAGCAAAGTCTCTCACTTCAACATGTACAAGTTTGTTGCTATCTTTTCACCTTTCATCACCACAGGCGCTCCACAGAACACCTTCATGATTCATTTCCGTGTTTCAATCTTGCTTGCATTATTATCCAACAATCCATAGGATAATAAAATTTTCTTCAGGCCTTTCACGTGTCGCACATCTCGAACAATTTTAATTGTTCCATCATACATCTTCAATTTGATGGGTCACATGCCAATGATCTCTAAGGCATGATCATTGCAACTATACACAGATCCTCCTGAGATAGGTTCATAATGATGAAACCATTATCTTCTTGAGGTCATGTGATATGTTGCTCCCGAATCAATGAGCCATATATCTGCATATCTCTTTCTACCTTCCACGGTGGTTGACGCTTCACAACATAGAACATCTCCATCATCTGAAGTGTTTGCGGTATTGCCTTGTGGATTGGAGTTTTTATTTAGACTCCAACAATCCTTCTTCAAGTGACCCTTTTTTCCACAGTTGTAGCACTTTAAATTCTTCTTGCTTCTCGACTTTGATCTATCATGTTTGTGACTGCTGCTTTGGTCACGTTCCGTTGATATCCCTCTCATCGTTGTCAACGTTTCTGCTTGTTGCAGATTTACTTTTCTGTCTTCCTTGTTCTTGCGCCGATTTTCTTCTTGTAGAACAACAGCTGCAACGTCATCGAAGACTAGACTGGTGACATTATTGTTTGTCAAGTTGATGATGAGTTGATCATACGAATCAGGTAGACTTTGAAGTAAAAGTTTAGCACGTTATTGTTCTCCTATTGTACATCTTAGGGATGTAAGCTGAGAAAACAAAATGTTCAGTGTGTTTAAGTGCTCCGTCACTGAAGTAGATTCAGGCATCCGGAGAGTGTACAATTTCCTCTTAAGGAAAATTTTATTGTGCAATGATGTGGCCTCGTACAATTTGGTGAGATGATCTCATATCTCCTTAGCTATCTTCTTCTCCTCGATGCTTGACAATACTTCATCTGCTAATGCTAGATGAAAGTTTGCTATAGCATTCTCGTCCATTTGTTTTCATCTGTGAAATCTACCGGTCTTTCACTGATAGGTGCTAGACAACCGTCTTTCCTTAGGATGGCCTTCATCTTCAATTTTCACAATGAGAAATTTCTCCCATTGAATTTTTCAATATCAAATTTTGTTGCCATAGCTTCTATTACGGATAGCTCCCATCATTTCACTATCGTGAATAGTCTCTGGAACCTTCAAAGAATGGGTAATATCTTCTTACTTTCTTATGTTGGAGGATCCACCTTTTTGGTGGCAATCACAAAGACAATAAGCATATATTACACACTCAAATCTGGCTCGGATACCAATTGTTGCGGAAGACAGCTATCGGATAGAGCAAAATCGCAACTGATAATTTGAGAAAATAAAAATGAAGATAAAGAAGACTCAAATTTTACGTGAAAACCCCCTAAATAATATAGGGTAAAAACCAAGGGCAACGGTGGAAGAATTTCATTATGAGAAAATATGAATTACAACTTTTCTCGATCTACCAAGGAGAAAACAATGATACCTCTCTATTGATAAAAAGGAGAAAACAACTCCCAAGAAACTCTCTAAATTCTCTAGTATTGGGAGAAAGCTAGAATGATTTGGGATAGTTTTGAAGCTAAATGAGCTAGAGTATTTATAGTTGAAGCTTAAGGACTAATTTATAAATACTCTAAATTATAATGACTAAAATAACAATTACACCATTGCTAATTTTCAACAATTAGCCAACCATTTTTGACATTTTTTTTCGGTGGATTTTCAACAAATCTATCATGGGGAAGAACAGACAATTGATACTCCAGCCAAGATCCAAACGATGAGGCACAATGACTCGGAATGAAAGCAGAAAATCCAACAATTCTGAAGGCAGCGCCGAGCAATCACGTAAAGCATGTGAAACTGTCTCCTCCAAAGCACCACAAAATACACAATTACCGGGAGTCAATCCAGCCAAGAATAATTGTCGACCAACTGGAAGAGCTTCATGAACTGCTCTCCAACCAAACGAAAGGACTTGAGGGCAAGCCACAGTCTTGCTACTGGGATAATATCATTACGCCGATGCCAAAGCCACTTGTAACCGATCTAACAGAATATGAACGTATAAAATTATCAAATATATGTTTAAACTATACAAATATTAATAGATATTCATAACAGTATAGGTTGAATGTATTAAACAAATGGATTGACCCAAATACCATTTACGTGACTAACGTATGATTTTTTTGTTATTTTTTTTTGTTAAGAGAACGAACTTATAAAATTTAAAAAATAAATAATTTAATAAAATTTTAGAAGTCAAAAACAAATTATCAAAAGAAAATATATAAAAAAAACTTAAAATATAAATATAAAATTTCAGATGATTGTCTGTTCTCCCCCACCCCTCTTTGGTCCATCCCGCGCAGGATCATAGTTAAGTCTTGATGGTGGATGTGCTGCTGAACATTTGGTGACTTTGTTTCACAATTCAGAGGCTTCTCCAAAAAAAAAAACACATTATTTCTCGATAGTTTTCAGATGAAACAAAAGTTTCTGTCATGGTGTAAGTGTTCTCAAGTTCCACAGTTTGATGGCAGCCTGATGGAGAAGAAGTACTAGTGGAAGCAGCTGCTTCTGGAAAGTTAGCCATTGTAGGAATATTCGGCAAGTTGGAGGAATCAGCATCAAAGACAATATTACTAGATGACAAAGATTTTATATCGAATTATACGGATTCTGGATCTTTGGAATTGGTCAATTCACTCTCCAAAAGAAAAGTTAATTAAAAAATAAATATTCTATTTAATGTCCTTGTCGGTCTAAAATTGGGAGCTGTCATTAATAAATTATTTTTTCCATTCTGGGAATAAAGTTAAGACTCAAGAGTCAATCTAAAACTATAGTCTATATTCTGTAGCTTCTAACACTCTGGGACTTGAAACTATTTTCCCCAAGTGTGTCCTCTTTTACTAATTAAATTGTTCTGTGCTCAGTGCACTGCTTCGTACGTGTACTCTTTAAAAGGTTATTGATTTTTTTTAATTAATTTAGGGTGTTTGTAAGTATAATATCTATTTTAAAGACTTTTAATCATTAGATAATAGTGGTAGATCTAGAAATTTAAGAATTAGTCCAAAATTTTAATTTTATTCTCTTAAAAATAATGAGTATGTAATTTTTTTTATTTTCTCTTAAACACATTAAGCTAAATTTAACAATTTTTTCAAAATAATGGAGATGCACTAGGCCCTATGGAGGCTTAGTGCATTCGTGCTCTTGTTAGACAGTGAAGATAATACACTTAAATTTCATCCTTATCTACAAGATAATATGTGTTTAAATATATTTAAATTTTTTAAATAATTTTTTATTAACGTGACATATTAACAATTAGTTAATCAATGTTTTTATCTTGTTTTAAGAATTAAAATATTTAAAAAATATATAAATCAAAGTGCTAATACAATCAAATATTAAGGATTATTTTTTATATTATACAAATCTAATTTTTTTTAATGGATGAGATCAGATGAATTCTATTAAAATGAAGGGCGGCATCGTGAAGCAGGCAAGTTTGTTTTCATTTGCATCACCATCTTCTTCTCCATTTGCCTCCTGAGCCCAGCGACTTCTCAATGCTTACAGTGTTTCACACTTTCACACAAAATACAAATCACTACGTTTTCAGATTGTGATTGTGGTAGCGAACTGACATTAAAAACATTGTAACAGTATGGTCTTAAGTTAATTGTACTATAATTTATATATGCACGAAAACTACTATTACTAAATTAATGGATTGGCCCAGAAATCGTCCACAGGATCATATAGGTGTTGTTGTTGGTTGTACCACAATGCTTCACAATCGAAACCTTGTGCCGTCAATGGCTGCTCCAAAAAACACGGTATTTCCCAATAGTTTCCAGACGACACAAAATTTTCCCTCATGCTATTAGTGTTGTCAACTTCCACAATTTGGTGGCAGCCTGATGGAGAAAAAGTAGTGCTGTAAGCTGATGGTTCCGCGAAGTCGGTCATTGTTGGGATAATCAGCAAGGCCGAGGAATCAGCTTCACTGGAACTGTTTTCTGCGGTTGCTGATGCTTCACAATCGAATTCAAAACCTTGTGCTATTAATGGCTGCTCAATAAAACTCAGTATCTCCCAATAGTTCTCAGATGAAACAACAGTTTCCCTCATGCTATAACCGTTTTCAGATGAATATAAAGTATTACTGTAAGTCGATGGTTTTGGGAAGTCAGCCATTGTAGGAATATTCAGCAGGCTTGAGGACTCAGCATCAGGTGAATTCTCCTCAATACTGGAACTGGTTTTTGTGGTTTCGGATGATGATGACTTGCTATTCTCCACTACTACACTTTTCTTCAGGCGAGAGTTCCAGTAGTTTTTGATGTCGTTGTCAGTTCTGTGTGGAAGCCTTGCTGCTATGGCTGACCATCGGTTTCCGAGCTCCCTTTGAAGGTGGATTATGGTTTCTTCTTCTTCCCTGCTGAAGTTTCCACGCCTTATATTAGGCCTCAAGTAATTCATCCAACGAAGCCTGCAACTCTTCCCTGATCTTCGCAACCCTACAAATCAAACCAACTGCTAATAAGAAAAACAATCTCGACAAAATTCATTACAGGTAGTTCATTAAAGTGATCATACCAGCAAATCGGGGCATCTCATTCCAATTCCAAATTCCATATCTCATGATATAAGCAATCAGCTTCTGGTCTTCATCACTAGTCCACGTTCCTTTCTTTACAAATGGTTGTCTCACCATCTTTCAGACTACTTATGGAACTCGAATGTCTCCAACCACTTATGGAATGTGAATCTCTCAATTAATCCCATGCATATTTATATCGGTTGTAGATAATATGTCAAAGCGGCGGGTTAGTAAGTACGATCCTTCCTGGATATGTTTGAATTAACTTAGGGTAGACGCGTTTACTTGGAAAAAAATTGGCTCTAATCCGCCTTTTCTAATTCCACCAATAGCATGCGGATTAGTCATATTTGTTTAATGTCATTGTCAGTCTAAAATTGGGTGCTGTCATTAATAAAATATATATTTTGTTGCTCATTCTACGAATAAAGTAAATAATCAATTTAAAATTAATTATAAAAGACTAAGATCAATGATCTAATTTTTTTTATTAAATCGTTGAGGGGTTGATAACATAAGTAATAGAAAGTGAATGTAGTTAAAATTTATTAAAATATATTTTATAGATAATAATAAAGGGTCAGTTTGGTAGGACTTTTGAAAGATATCTTTTAAAAATGCAGTAGAAGAAAACTTTCAAAAGTGTTGTTTAAAAGTGCAGTTTAAAATTTAATTATTTGAGATTATAGTTAAAAATGAATTTGAAAAGAGAAAACGTCCGTTATAGACATTATGTTATAAATTAAAATTATAGAATTTAAATGAGTAAGGATAAAATTATAATTTGCTTTAAAATGCAAAGTTGAAAATAAAAAAAATCTATAAATTTTAGCTTTTGCAGTTGGTTTGAAACTACCGTTTTCATCATAATTTTTTTTTCTTTTAATCAATTTGACATTGATTTTGCGGTCGAAACATATTTTTTAATTAAAAGTGATTTTAGAAAATCACTTCAAACAAGACCAAAGTATTATATGATTATGTTTTTATCTTTTCTATATATAAATTTTAAATAACAAACGAAAATTTATTAATTTAAAGAATAATTTCATGTTTAATAAAAATAATTATATATTTTTTAATTTCTACTTATAATTATTGTTAAATATATATTTTTAAAATATTGTTTCTTTATGCGACAAAATCTAATGATTCATAATTGTTGTTAGGTTGGAATGTCTTTTTAGGAAGCTGGACAGTTAAAAGAGATTGTGGAAGAATAAGTATTTCTATTAAAAATAGGGGTTTGACTCTTTTCAAAAGATTTTTTCTTTATTCATAATTAGTCGATAACTCTTATTTTATTTTAGAACATAGCACACGTTCATTGATTTTATTAGTTGGAAATTTTATTTTATTTGAAGAGTACATATCACAAATTTATCGATGATAAAAGATTAAATATAAATATCTAATCATCTTATCAAAACTATACTTAATAAAATTTTAAATCGATAAAAAAAAATATAACAAATACAATAAATTTTAAATCATACTTTTCGAATATTATAAAATAATTATCTTAATTAAAGTTTTTCCATTCATAATATAATAATTAAAATCACCAACTTTTTTCACAATAAAAAATTAAATTTTTATTAATAATAACCATCATTAAAAAAAAAATAGTTGCATGGAGGCACAAAAATCAAACAGTAACACTGAAGAAAAACAACATCGAAAAACTCCTATAGACGGGCTGTTATTGGTAAAATAAGATTTATTTTTATGCCAAATGGGATAAAAATCTATCCCCCTAGTTGCCCTTTTCTTAATCTTCTACGCAATTCTTGGGTTCTGCCGATTGTCGGTGGCGACCTTCTTCTGGTGATCACAAAACAAAGTTTATCTGTCAGCCCATGACGAAACATCCAAACAGTGACGATATCCACGTCTTTTTCCAACCTATGTTGTCTGCAAAACGATAGCCAGCCGCTAGAAGTAAGCACGTACATCTTCGAAGCCCAGAGCTTGAATGTCATGTTGTATCCGTTCCCTTCCGAATCGAACACGGTCACCGGGATTCCGTTCCGCACATTCTCATCTTCTTTCAACCTTGGTATCATGGAGTCTTTAACGTGATCCTTGCACAAAAGCAGCCTCGATTGATCTCTCTTTAAGTCGGTCTCCGTCAGCCGCTTTTGGTAAGGCTTGCTACATTCGGTAATGAGACCGGCGAGAGCTGCTACCGGCGGGATATCTGGGGGTTCATAGCCGTCCAACATTCTATTGTTTCTTCCAACAGTAATTTTGAAACTCGCTTCTTCCTCTTGTTTTTGCTTGTCTTTGTCTATCTGATTATATAACGTTAATTCAGATTCTTTGTCTAACTTTTCATGCTTCAATAAAATAAGACATGAAGCAGCATAGTGAACCTCATAATTCGACGGATCCTCTCCATTATCGCCATTATCGATGGCTTTTGACTTGCGTTTCTCACGCACTTTCTTCATTGTTTTACAAGATAAAGGGAACAAGGGTTTAAATCTGAAGAATATATAAAGTAAAACTGAAAGTAGGGATGATGGCAAAGCAATGTAAGGAGGAATTGTAATTTATAAGTTTTTTTTAAAGTTAAGCTGATTTTAATATAACTAAATTTCTATACTAATAGGATTAGGGCTTCCTTTTCCTCATAAAAATAGAACAAGAAGTATACTATGAGACAATATTTGTCTGGAATTATGATACTACTTTACTATGTATAACACTCAATTTAATAATATCAGTAATTTAAAAAGATTACACTAAACAGAAAGTATACTATGATTTAATTATAAATAGCCGATGAAATCACAGCTCTGTCGGCAAAGTATGTTTAAGATCTTAATCCAAATTTAATTTTGATTTAAATTTAATCATGTACAAAACCTATCTAGAATTAAACCCTATATAAGTTACCCTAAACCAATATCTATATCCAAACCAACTAATTAAACCCATTTACAACTTAACTCAATCTAACTAGTTTTAATTAAACCTATTCACAGATTACAAAATTGAAAAACCTACCTAATGGCATGACCGAAACCTAAAATTACAACTTAAAGAATGGCTTTAATGCATAACGTTCTGGGGGTCTGGACTGGTTTTGGAATCTGAGTAGGGGAATTCCCAGCTGCAACAGGTTGTTTGTTGCAAGTATTACTGAAACTAACGTTGTATTATATGTGTAAGCTTTATTGCATCATTAATTAATGGATAAATGTGATACTATTGAAATCGATAACAAAACAATTAGCTATAACTTTTATTATAGATTCGTGTAGACTGTACTAACTTTCCGATAACTACTCAAAGTTTTAACAACGTAAGAATGCTTGGTTTATGCAGTAATAAAATTAAGGATTGGCCCAGAAAACATCCACAGGATCATAGTAGTGTTGATGCTGCTTTGCCACAACTGAGAATTAGGTGATGATGCTACACAATCAAAGCCTTCTGCGATTATTGGCTGCTCCATAAAAATCTCCCAGTTGTTCTTAGATGAAACAAAAGTGTCTCTCATGCTATAACTGTTTTCAGATGAAGAAAAAGTATCACGGTAAGACAATGGTTCTGGGAAATCAGCCATTGTAGGAATGTTAAGCAAGCTTGAGGACTCAGCATCAGGTGAATTCTCCTCAATACTGGAATGGTTTTCTGTGGTTGCTGATGATGATTTATTATTCTCTAATATTACCCTTTTCTTCAAGCGAGTGTTCTAGTAGTTTTTGATGTCGTTGTCAGTTCTTTGCGGAAGCTTAGCTGCTATTGCAGACCATCGATTTCCGAGCTCCCTTTGAAGGTGGATTATGGTTTCTTCTTCTTCCCTGCTGAAGTTTCCACGCCTTATATTAGGCCTCAAGTAATTCATCCAACGAAGCCTGCAACTCTTCCCTGGTCTTTGCAACCCTACAAATCAAAACCAACAGCTAATAAGAAAAAAATCTTGATGAGATTCAAGTTTTTCATTACATCTTATTCATTAAAGTGAACATACCAGCAAATTTGGGCATTTCATTCCAATTCCAAATGCCATATCTCTTGATATAAGCAATCAGCTTCTGGTCTTATCTGAAACTGAATTCTTCAACCATTTAATGAATTGTGAGTCTCTCAATCTATATTTATATAAGTTGTAGATAGTGATCGGAAGATTCCAATCATCCAATTAATCAACCTGTCAAAGACGCGGGTTAGTAATTACTGAATTAGTAGGTTTTTTCCTAGATCGTGACTTATGTTTGAATCCCATTCACAGTAAACAGTTTACTTGGGAAAAAATGGTGGAATAAGTCTTTTTCTATTCCATATATAATGTGGATCAAGAAGTCATCCATGATGGTACATTGCATTTGCATGCAACTGTTAGGAAAAAAAACAAGAAAGTGCTTTTCTAACATGCGAATAGTGTTTGTGTTTTGTCTAAAATTTGGGGCTGCAATAGATGTAGTCGAATATTTAATTCTTTTTATTCTTGGAATTAGGTTAAGTGGCATTATTCAACTCACACTTGCTCGATACAAACGCTCCTAATTGCACGACTATTTAAATTGCCTTCAGGGTAGACGAGCTTACTTGAAAAAAAAAAACAGCTCGGACCATCAGTCTTTTCTTATTCCACCAAGAGTGTATTTTTACATGCAGAAAGCATCAGAAAATATTTGTAGAAAACAAACATATTTATAAGAAATAAATAAAGAGCCAATTAACTGCTCAAAAAATTTATGTAATAAATATTTGATTATTGTCATTGTCAGTCAAAAAATTGGGGGCTAAATCTACGAGATAATGTATTGGAATTATTTATTTCAAGAGATAATGTTCTCCCAAGATTAATTGCTGAAGTAAGGCGAATTGCACAGTGTTGGTCATAGGTCGCCATGCCTTCCGGGAGACCTACGACGTGGCAGCTTCTGACGAGGGAATGATCGTGTGCATGGGACATGCACAACCCAACCCATAGGTCGTCATGTACTCCCAGCGACCTCCTAGGTCGCCATGCACTCGGGGTGACTAAGGAAGTCGCCATGCACGCCCGACGACCAAGCTTTTAACCCTTGCACGCCCTGTATGTCATAGCTGGGAGATTTATGCCCGACGACCAAGCTTTAACCCTCTGCTCCCTCATGC